TTAAATTAGCTTTTTGAAGAAAATATAGTCACTATTGTTGTTATTGGAAGCTTGACAGTGGAGTAAGACTGGCCATTCATTTTCAGCTTGGTTCATTTAGTTTGATTGTATGTGTTTATGAGAAAATAAATGTTAAACCTAAAATATTTTTTTAGAACTTGTGTATCATAAAAAGTTTCTACTTGGGTGACCATATGGATATTTATAAAATTGTTTTTGTTTGCTGCGACCTAAGATAATCATTAGCAGATCTCTGAGTTTTGGAAAAAGTCAGTTTCGTTTTATTCATAAAGTTTGTAGGATTTGCTGTTCTTTTACCTTTAGGAATGCATTAGATAGATGTATATTTAATAAAGCTGGATGGAACAAATAGGAAGATTTTCTTGAGAATTATGAAATTGGTTTTAGCATTTAAAAACAGAAACAAAGACATTATTTTCTGATTGAAGTGATTTTTTTTCTTGTTTATTTCGGTAATTATTATTATTTTGATAAAAATTAAAAATACCTAAAATTAAAGTATGTGATAATCATATTTATATGGAAGTTGTGGGGTACTTGATACTTTCTCCATGCTAAATCGATTCTTTGACTCCAGTCAATTTCTATGTAAACTTTAGTGATCTATCCCACCTCATTTGGATAGATGAGGACACCATGCATTTTTACACATCAACAACTAACACATCTAATTTTATAAAAAAAATAGGCAGAGTTTCACCCAAAACACAAACTTTCTTCCTCTTACCAAAATAAGACAAAAACATCTAATAATATGCAATACCTCCATAACGAAATTTAAGTATTCAAATTCTAAAAATCAATGTACATCTCCAGAAGAAGATGTGGCTGATAAGTCAAAACCTCAGAAATTCTAAATAGAACCATAAACCGAAGGATTCCCATTTCTGCTTATATTTGCTGCAGCTTGGAGGGAGATTAAAAAGTAGCATAATCCCTAAGGAGTGAAAAACCAAACAATTTATTTTGCAGCGTTAAGCAATGTTTTCATTAATTTTCCTCCCTTTTTTCATTTTTAATGATTTAGGTGATAAGCCATAAACTGATTAGTGCTCATTATTTATAGGCTATTCTTTAATTCCCCCTTCTTTCTATTGTAGTTATTCCATTTCCAGCTACCTCTGCTACTAACTAATAATCTTTATGTAATACCCCAAAATTTTGTGATATTTTGGCGTTAAGTTAAGGACCTTTGTGTGAGAAAATAGTGTTTTGGGGCTTAATGATCAAAATGTCTAAACTTGAGGGACTTAAAGAGGGAAAAATAATTGGATAAGGATGACTCCTTTTCTTTTTCTTTTTCTTTCTTTCTTTTCTTCCCAGCCTTGCCCGCTTCTGCTCTTCTTCTTTTTTCTTCCCGCTGCAGCCACCCAAAAGAAAAAAAAGGGAAACCCAGCCATGCGTTGGAAAACCGGTGAGAAAGCTTGGTTTTTGGCCTTCTTTTCTTGCTCTAGAACACAAATTGAACCCAGAAATTCTCCCCCCCTGCTGGAAAATCCGGATCTGCCTTGCTCTGTCCGCCGGCTGCTCTTGTTGTGGGGGCAAATTGCTTGGGTTTTGGGTAAGAAACAACCATTAAATCCCTTTGTTTTAGCCTTAAATTAGCTTGGGTTCATGTTAAATGTGTTGTTTCTCCAGAATTTTGATAGATTTCCCGTGAGCCGTGAGCTTTCTTCTTCCATGCCGCCAGCCTTTCCCCAATCTGCAGCTCCGGTTTTAGCTGGAGAATTATGGTATGTGACAGCCTTTTAAGGCTTAATTTAGCCATTTATTGCTGCCTTGTGTGTGTCCGAAATTCTGCAGAAAATGGGGATAATTCCGGTAGCTTTAGGATGAAGTTTAAATATTAATTCAAGTGGGATTTATATGATTGAGTGTTAATTGTCTGCTGTGTGATTTTTGGAGAAAATCCAGTGAATTAGCTAGTGTTTTGGCCCATTTTTGGAAGTTAGAGTTACTGTTCACGTCGTGGTACTGTTCACGTCGTGGTACTGTTTATGGGCACTGTTCACACCCCGAGAGTCAACTATTAACGGGATTTAAGTGATTAGTTTGTGATATAAAAACGAATTTGGAGATATTTGATCATGTGGAGATTGATAGAAATAGCATCGGGATTAAGAGTGATCTTAATGATGATTTCAGTTTGAATTTGTGGTGATACGATAATTAATTGTGGATATTTTGATTAGGTTCTTGATCGTTCTGTCAGTTTAGTACGTGAATTGAGTGCTCGGTTTTGCGGAGTGAGGTAAGTAGATTATGGTAACGCCCTTCGATTTTAAAAGCATGTTTCGATTTGTTTTTGAAGTGATGGCGGGATTAAACCCGTTTTACACAAGTATGACTGATTTGAAGTGAAATGTTTTATGCTTTTTATTAAATTGAGCATGCCTACTTGAAATTTAAGTGACTGTCCTGATGATCTGAAAGTGATTGTGAATTGTGATTTTCCTGTTAACTTCTGCCTGTTTTGTCTCCGATGTGGTCATGTTATTAGTGACCATGCTAGTGGGGGAGGTTATAAACGCTAGCACATGTCGGCACATGTCAATATGTTATTCGTGACCCTGCTAGTGGGGGAGGTTATAAACGCTAGCACATGTCGACATGTTATTGATAGAACCGGTTCGTTGAGTGACCCTACTTGTGGGGATTATACACCAGCAAACAGTGACCCTGCTTGTGGGGATTATACACCAGCAAACAGTGCGCCTGCCAGTGGGTGTTAGACGCTGGCCGTGACCTATAGAGGAGACGTCTATTTCGTTCTCGTATTGTATCCGTTTTTCGTGATTGCACATGTTGGCATGCTATAAGTTTGATAAGGGGCACTCTATATTTACTTACTGAGTTTATCTCATAGTTTTTCCTTATCCACCATTTCAGGAAGTGAAGCTGAGGACGGGAAAACCACGGGAAGTGACGAGTTAGAAAGCTAGCCATTTCGAGATTGACATAGATTTTAGAAATAAATCGTGATATTGTAAACTCGACTTTATTGGAGATTTATGATATTGGAGCAAATTATAAATTTTGATGGTATTAGTTTGTGATTTGAATAAGTTCCGAGCCTTGTGCACTTGTGGGACCCACGCCAGAATAATCATATGTTAATTGCAATACTTAATTTCTACATCATTTCTGGCGTGGGTTTAAAATGTAACTTCCTAATTTCAATTAAGGTTAGTTAAATTTTATCTATTTATTTTTTCTTTTAATTTGTTACTTAATCTAAAATTTTTAATATTTTTAAACATGTTTATTCTTTTTTTTTTAAATCATAATTTCTATTTATATTAGTTTGGCTTTTATCTTTTTTAATTTGTTAATTGATTTTGTTGCTGTTTTTTTAGGTGCATATGTTCCTCCAAAATCATTAATTTCCCTCTGAAAATTTGTCAATTACAAGTTTGACCAAAATACAAGTATGTTGTATAAGTGTTATTTCTTTATTTTTTTGAAATTTAGTTTAGAGAAAGTTAAAAAATTGACGTGATATTAGTAATCAGTAAAGTATGATTAATTGATTAATTGATTGATTAAAAGGAAATATGT